TACTAGGATCCACTTGGATTTTTATCTTACTATACACACACATATCTCTCCATATATATATATGTCTGTGTCTGTGCACGTGTGTCTGTGTGTGTGTGTGTGTGTGTGTGTGTACAGCGTGCGATGGGTAAACTGAATTGTTGTATTCACAAGCCATATTCTCATGTGATTTAACTTTTCCTCACACAACCTTTAGATTCCAGTGTTTCCTTAATGTTACTAACCAGCAGCTATGAGCGTTAGACGATCTTTATAAAACATACTGGGTCCGATGGACAAGTTGTCGCTATTTTATATATTTAATTGTTTGATTTTGATCTTTCGACTGCACAGTTTAGTAGTGTCACATGGGTATCGTCTTTGAGAAAAAAGTACCGGAAACGGCAAACTGTACAGATTGGCATTCGGTTGGAAGCTCCAATACGAACAAGTGTCGATCTGATAAGAAAAGACCCCCCGAATTTGTTGGTGATAGCTTCAAATTCAACACGGTTGTCTAGATCAAGTGCCTTGTGGAGATAGTGCTGCTACGAGTCAAGAGGGTATCTGCTAGAAGATTCTATATCTAGTAAACGGAAGCTGCACCATGCAACAAAAGTAGGAGAACCCAGTTATGGCCATCAGACATTTTTTTCGGTCTCATCACCATTTACACCTGGCCGCCTAACTCCCCAGACAAAAACTTCCTTGACTATTATGTATGAGCGAGAGACCAACAGAATTTTTTGTAATACCAAAGATGAACTGAAGGTGAGGACTATGGTACCATTGACCAATTAAATAAGGAGATGAAGGAGATTCTAAAATCGTCTGGCGGCCGTAGTTGAAGCCAATAGAGATTTTATTTAATAAATTTACTCTTTAGTATTTTCAAGATATATTTGTTTAATTTTGGTAAATACATCTGCTAAAATGAGATGTCAGTATTATTTTCATTTTCGTGTAATTTAGACAGTTATTTATACATCGCATCATATGTGTGTGTGTGTGTGTGTGTGTGTGTGTGTGTGTGTGTGTGTGTGTGTGTGTGTGTGTGTGCATATGTGTGTGTGTGTGTGTGTGTGTGTGTGTGTGTGTGCGTGCGTTTTCTTTCTAGATCGCTGACAGGCTCCAATACTATGACAGAAGTAAAAGGTTTGACAATGTTACCTTCAGCCTTCCGACTCCAGAGTTTCGTAGACAGAACGATCGGAAATCACTCGCCAGGATGTATCTACAACTGTTCACTCAAGTCTATTCTTCCTCTGTGAGGAAATTGTCCTATATAAACTGCTCTCTAGGAGAACTGAGATTGCACAGCAGTTTGCTGTTTACTTACTTTCTAATAAATTTTCATTTTTCTTAATTCTTTGTTTAATCACTCCACAATATTTTCGGTCTAGACCACTGAATTGTATTATAGAAATAGTAAATATTATATGCTTTATTTTGATGTAAACATGATTTAATGAAAATAAACTTGTATTTAACAAATAAATTATATGGAACATTAATGTACACTAGTTAAATAACTCATCAGAAAGTTTTTTTTAAATATGTGATTCATTAATAAATTTAAAAAGTGCAGATTTATTCAATGAGGTTATTGTGGTTAACGATACTCTGGGATTTTTTATATTGGCTCTACACATGTCAATGATAGCCGAAGATCACTATTATGCACAACGTCATGTCTATTACTACATTAATTAATTCATGTTAATATTCAATTTTATTAATAATTAAAATTGATATTATTATTGATTATTAATATATTAAATTCATTTATATAATAAATTATAAACCATTATTCCTTCGTATATATCACCATTCCTTTATATACTTCACAGCTTTTATTCATTTTTAAAATCAAAATTTCCGGTAGAGTAAAGGGAATGCTAATTTACATTACTTCATCTTCTTTTCTGCTAGTTTTAGAGTTGTTTTTCTATTTGTAGTATTTTAATATGGCATAGATTACTGTAGAAAATCCAATTCTCAGTTTTAACAGGCATTCCGAAGCGAAATTGCTCTATGGTAAATATTACCATGGACCCTAATTTGCTATTTATGTTGTGTGTAATTATACATGGCTCCCATGGTCCACATGGACCCCGATTGAGAACTTATTGGTCATACCAATGACGCTTGCAAAATGTGAAAAATCTTGTGGGATTTTGATGGTAAGTTATTGATAATGATGACAATACCGAAGAAGCGCTAAAAAGAAATTTGCTAAACTAATTACCAAAACCTGTCAGAATTACCAAATGAATGAATTTTTGAAGAGTTTTATAATCATCGTATGTTAATGAATAACTTTTTGACATATCCATGGAATGCTGCTGCCAGATCTGTTCTGGTGCTCCCGCTGTTCGTCTCGATGTCCTCGACAAAATTCAGAGGCGGATATTCAACGTGCTTGATAGTGATCTGGTCTGCAGTCGCTCACAGATGTGTTGTGGCTTCCCTCTGTCTTTTCTACACGTATTTTCATGGCAACTGCTCTGACGAGCTACTTTCACTGGTTGTCAAACTGCATGAATATAAGTGTGCTACTAGGATGGCATTTATATCCCACCCTTTCACTGTCGAAACGGCTAAATATGGCCATCTTGTCTACTCCAACATCTTCTTATCTTGCACATCCCGTCAGTGGAACTCCCTTTCTATCACTTGCTACTCTGATAGCTATAATCTTCAAATATTCAAATGTAATGTCAATCGACATCTTCTGATTCCTTGACCTTGATCCACGTCCTTCCATTTATACATTTCCCAAACACTCCTCTTTAATTTTACTAACACACTCTGTAACGCCTTGCGTGCTAGTGGCACTCCCGCCTTGCTTGGGGTGATTTGATTAAAAGAAATGTTATTTTCCCAAATTTCGAACATTTCTAATTGAATGACTTGTTTATTAAAATAACTAAGCAGGAAATATATAGAAAAAAAACTTTTTTTTTTATTTGTGATAATTAAGAATTGAATTTCCCAGGTATAGAACTTAAGTATTAAATACATTCACTGACAATTGCAGTTTCTATTCATTTATTTATTGCAATTCAGACAGTGAATAGTGCTTTTATATTTTCATTATTTAAATCAGATGGTCATGTGGCCGAGTGGTTAGAACGTAGCATTCTGATAATGAGGCCCGGGTTCGAATCTCACCATAGTCGATTTGTCAGAAAGGAGACTTCCTGATGTTATCGGACTGATGGCACCTTTGGAAAGTGCCTGGGTTGACCAAAGCCTTGTAAGTGAAATTGGGTAGAGTCACAACTCATCGTTCCCGAGGGATTGAGCGTAGCGTGCTGTCCTTGTTCAAATTACTGACCACGCTAGACAACACGCTCTTTCACAGAAAAATGTAACTATGGTCTGCTCAGCATTGTTACAGTATAAACCACAGGTGAGCTCTTTGGCTGTTGAATAAACACAAATGCGCCTGAGCAAACGTCTGCAATATGAATTGGCTAGCCGCCCTAGTAGACAGGTATCCTACTAGCTATACATACATACATACATTTAAATCATATTGAGATTAAATGATTTCATCTTTCTTCTTATTTGGACAACATTTCGACCATTGTTTCCCCCGGCATTCTTCAAATAAAAGTCTATAGATGTAAGCCTCATTAAATTTCTGAATATGACACATTTAATGTGCAGGATTCAATTTTTCTCCTTCCGTTGTTCATGTGACAAGTAATAGAAGTCTCATCAGCAGGCAGTTTAGGTTTAAGGTTCCAAGTTCTCCACTCAGAATTGTCCCACGTAAGCGGATTAACGCGTTGGTTTCCTGAATTTGGTGATATAGTAATTGTGAACCCCGTCCATGGACAATGTGTAACGGGATGAGCCGTAACTAAACTGTACCAAACGTTATATCATTTGACATGGGTATTGGAAATGAATGATTAAATAAAGCACATTAAATAAAACGGGATTCAGTTCAAAATTTAAAACATCTGAAGACTGGATGGCACAAAGTCGAAACGTTGTTACAACAACAAAAAAGACGAGGGCAAGGTGTGTAAATAATGTTATTGTTCTCTTTAGTACTTTCAGTTATTCCTTGCGGTGTTTCCATATATTATGTGCCTATACTACCCAGCCCAGGGATTGAACTCACAAATACTGTCACTGAATTCAGGTAGAAGCTTTTTAATCCACGCGACTAATTTTTTTTTTTATAGACGTATTCCTGGATTAATAAAACTTACTTCTTGGCTTGGCTTTCTCTTTCTTTTTTTCTTTAATTATTCTAAAAATAATTATATTTCACTGTTCTTCATTTCCTAACACAAGAATGGGTGTTGCGTTTCTCCACATAATCTCAAATTAAAGAGTATTTAGATTTTTCCTTCGTATAAATTTCATGCTTGGGACAACTAATTACAACATGTAAGAAATATAACTATCTTCGTTTTGGCTTTCATGCTTTTGTGATGTCAACGAACACTCGTTGCCACTTTTGATGCCAACGAATACTCGTTGTAACTTTCGTAATGCTCAATGTAGTAGAGACTTTGTAATCGCAAACACAACTATAGTAATGCCAATGAACAATACTGGTGTCAGACGTCTTTGAATAGCACTCGCACTAATAGTACTTCCTCGATAATACTCTCTCGAACAATAATCCGTATAATGATCCAAAAAGAAAATAGTATAGTGAATAGAGTAGAGAATAGCGTTCCGTATAGTAATAGAGGAGAAATGATGATTCGAATAGTAACAGAGGATAGACTAGAAATGGCGACCGTTTAGACGTCACGCTACTTTCTACTTATGCGTTTCTCTATGGTCAAGTGTTCTATTAATTCAATAATGGGATCCATTGTATTTCCTTACTGGCAATCTAAGTTCAAACTCAAGTGTCGGCAATGACACATTATTCCTATAAAAACTCATACAATGAAATAGAATATTATTATCAATAATTCACTGTGAAAGTATATGATCTCCCAGCACAGGTTTCAAGGCTTACGTAGCTTTCCCTCCCCGGAAAATGTTTACGGCCACATCAGTTGAAACACCGATTCCAGTACGATCACCGAAGTTAAGCAACGTTGTGCCCGGTCAGATGGGTGACCGTTTAAGAATACCAGGTGCTGTAAGCTTGAATGCGCGGGTGGCGTAATGGATAATGGTTCAGAATTGTTAATTGGAGGGCCGAGTTCCAATTCCCGTTGAGCTCGTCATATTTACTTACAGGCAAATATCTTTCGGAAACGTATGATTACCTCTTCTCCCTCAGCTATAGGTTAATTAGTAAAACTTGTATCAGTAAACTGTTACTTCCCCTAAACAATTCCTCGACACTAAAAATCTTTTCTGTCGTTAAATAACGTACAGTGAGTTGTTAAGACATAAAAAACGAATCAATAAATAAAAAATGACATATGTAAGTGTGTAGAAACTGGAATCGTCGTGCCGAGTTCAATTCCTGGCAATATTCTGTTCGGTTCGATTTGGCGCTAATGCCCTTTGAAAAGGCAAGACGCCATCTGTCTGCCTTTGCTTGCAGCGTGGACTGTGCTTTCTGACTTTGGATTAAAGTCTGTGAATGAAAAGTTTTACTCTGAATTCAAAACTATGGAAGAGGCAAGGCGAAACCAAACCACTAACTTAACCAAGAACTGATAGATATTCACAGATAATAAAGACAAACTTATCCGTAGGGAGTCATGAGCAACTCTATCCTCAACTAAAAAAATAAAATCCTGCTCAGATTAGTTTTAACACGTGTTGATAGGAACTATAATCCCTTTTTTAATGGTTCTGGACTCTCTCTCTCTCTCTCTCTCTCTCTCTCTCTCTCTCTTCTTCTTCTTCTTCTTCTTCTTCTTCTTCTTCTTCTTATATACAGTGTCTTCTCAGGACATTGACGATCATGATTTCCTGTCTTTGCAGCTCTAAATAAATTCTGTCTTTTCGTTATTTCTAAACTCTGTTTTGTCACCTATTTTCTCAAGTTCGTCAGTTAGGTTATATATGTTTTCCTTTGTCCTGTGAGTAACACATTTTTCAAGACCTCCTACCTCATTATGTATCAGTAATTTCAAAATTTTCATATTCATCACCTAATTTCCGAAACCCCTTCATTCAAAAGCATTTCAATTTGTTCCGTACGAACAGAAGGCATGTAACCATAATCTAAATAAGTAAACGGTAAATCTGACCGTCGATGTGACTAAAACCTCTCTAGCTCGTGCCACACTAGCTCTACATAGACATATTATATCTTTTTTGAATCAGGATGATGTTGGGATGAAATTCCGCCGTTTAAGAGGCGCTTGAACATCCAACATTGGGTTTTGTACCGGACAACAAAGGCACAGTTAAAAATTCAAATTTTAAAATAATTGTAAAAAAAATATTGATTTTAAATGTTTTAAATTTATATTGAGTTTAAAGTAACACAAAAACTTTGTGAATTTAAAAATGATTGTTTCAAATCCATTTTAAAATATCTCCAAAACTTTACAAATTGAGGAAATCAATTTTATTTCTTCAAAATGCAAAGGAATCAGTGTTAAAAAGAGAGGTTTCGAGACGTGATCCGTTGAAGTTAAGTTTTTGATTTGAAGAACTAAACTCAGTTGAAGTTCCACGGAATTTATGATAGGAAGAACTCAATTTTCGGCCTGAATTGCAGTTTCTACACAAAATCTGAATTTGGCTTATAGCTTGAATCAAAGCTAAAGTGAGGATTTGAAATTTCATCGAGTGAATTGAAGAATTAAAAGTTATTTCTTCAAAATTATCATTGCTGTTTTCTAAGGCTAGACCAAAGTCCCTTATAGTTTTGGGCCGGAATCCCAATTAGCTCTCCGCAGTAACTAGCTTCAAAGTCTGCACAGTGTGCGGCTTTTAAGCTAGTTCCATAATAACTTTCAGGCGTGTTTAATTTGAAATATTTCAACAATTTTGAGTTTCATATACTTAAATGACTATTTCTATTCACAAAACAGCTTGCTAGATTTTACCATAACTGATCTACGTTTCATGGAGAGAGAACATCAATCAGATATCAGTGAGGGCAATACTCTCTTGTTATAAACTCTGGATAAGAAATTAACAATATGTGAGGAAGTAAGCTGAATAAATATTATTCTTACAATATTTGACAAAATCAAAAACATGTTAATCTACTGGTACGTGTCCCGGAATGGTCATGTAAACAGGTATATCGATAGTTTCTTTTTAGTTTTTAACTAATTGCGGAAAATTTTTAATCAATTCTTTGAGTAGATACTTATTATATTTTATCATATCATTCGTCAGCAAAGAAAACACTAGGGAACTTCTATGATATATATATATATATATATATATATATATATATATATATATATATATATATATATATATATGTATATGTATATTTGAAGAAATTTTTAGTTTTAATGTATGCTATATTTATGGGATAAAATGCTCAATATTAGAGATAGTGCGTATGGAAATATACCCAGTATACTCAAAATCAGAAATATATATATATATATATATATATATATATATATATATATATATATATATTGAAAGTTTTCAACACAACTGAAATGTTTCTTCTAAAATCAGATATTATTTACGAACAGAATAATGCAAAAAATGTATTCCTTTCTACATAGTCATTTCAAAATCTATTTTGTATAAACATCTTAAGACCATTAATGTGTCTTCTAAATCATTAATATTCCGTCACACTCAGTAACCACTTATACCTTAGTGGCAGTATTACCTTTGTTGGGTCGAAATGATTAAAAAGACACAATCAAAAGATTTCTCATAAAATCGGACATTATTTTGCGAACAAACTCACATAAAAACTGTAGCGCTTTCAATAGAGACAATTGTTCCAAAACTTATTTCGTTTAAGAATCTTAAGTCTATATACGTGTGTTATTTAAATCATTAATATCATTAGTATCTTGACAAGACATGGTCTGTCAATTTTAAGGTCTCCAAAAGAAAATTCTTCTATGAATTAATATGCATTTTATTTTGCATTTTGTTCACAGTGATTAATATTACGTTTATTTCCTCAGTAAATGTCCTTTAAGCCAAATGTTATTAAATACAACAGGCGTTTTGGGCCGATTCATTTTATTGATTAACTTTACCAAATTACGAATAATCTTTCTCAGATAAAGAGGACATTTCATCAGAAATTATCCGAAGTTCATTATGGCAGAAAATCTACTCCAAGCTTTCGAATTTCGAAATTCATCCGACGGTTGGAGTGAATAGAGGGAAAATGAAGACGAAGCCTTGCCGCCGCCAAGAAGCTTGATCGACGGAAAGAAAAACAACAAAGTGACACGGGGGATGGGGAGAATATTAAACGTATGTATTCGTTGCAATAGACAGTGTCACTCCCTCTACGGCCATAATAGACGCTGTGCCGCCATTAGCAGCTGAGATATATATATATATATATATATATATATATATATATATATATATATATATATATATATATATATATATATATAGTTCACTGGTACCAGCAAGCAGAAAATTATTTTTCTCCTGATGGTGACCATGTTGGCCGAAACTAATCGAGGAATCTAAATGAAATAATAATAAAAATGAAGGAATATTTATATACAACACAGTGTGTCTGAAGATTTTAATTCTTTAATAATGTTTATTGTCCTCTCTCTCTCTCTCTCTCTCTCTTTATTTATATATATATATATATATATATACATACATATATATATATATATATATATATATATATATATATATATATATATATATATATATATATATATGTATGTATGTATATATGTATATATAGAAAGTTTTCAACACAATTGAAATATTTTTTCTAAAATCAGATATTATTCCTGATGAGACTAATATAAAATATATATATAAGCCTTCCTACATTTTTTAATCTTAACCTGTCGTGGTATCTCACGAAAAATAACATAGACGTTATCTTTTATTTACCAGTGACTTTGATAGTAGTTATTAAAAATCAAACTGAAGAAAGAAACTATATTTAAAATAATCCAGTTCTAAGAAATTGATTAGTACTATGACGTCAATATAATGACTGAGCATTCATATAAAGTTTCTAAGATTCTGCTATGTTCGCCGATGGGTCGATGCTTTTTCTACCTGTTGTTCGTTAAGAACGTAATCACGCTGTTTCACCTGATTCAATAGGTTCATTACATGTAGATTTATCATGTGTAACAAAAGACTGACACCTTCATAAAAGAATTCAAGCGAAATTATCCGTCTTCTTCACTTCTGTTTGAGAATTAATCAAAGTGGAATACATACATCGACTACAAAGGAAACGAACAGATGACAGGCAGACACCCGACATTAGAATATGGGTAGTAATGAACTCTCTTTACGAGCCTTCAAGTGTTCACAACGAAATTTATGGCCAGGCAATCTCTTGATACATTCTAGACCATCATTCGTAAATCGAGCAGATGAGGTCTCCTCTAAAATGATGACAATGTGGCAAATCTCCAAGCGCTTCTCTTCTTCCTCAGTTGGTAAGTCCTTTTTTTCTATTGAATGCTAATTGAATTAAGTAGTCGTTTTCATTTGGCTCGTGTTCCATAATAACCTATGTGATGATAATGTAATATTTGGGCTGATTTGACAGAATGTCATGTCAGCCGCATTTCTTGTCTTGCTAGACGAAGACAACTTCCTGACCTGAACTAGATATTATTAAGTGTGCATTAAAAGTGTAGGCACACTTTTCTTTTAAAGCTACTTTCGTATATTCCTCTAAAGATTTTCTATACTTCTAGTATTTTTACAATTATATATTCTTTTTTCTTTCTTTAGACAGAACTTTACTGCAAAGTTTATTTCATATATTCATCTAAACAGTATTACTTAACTGTATTGTCAAGCGTAAGGGTAATATCTCGTTAAAACACTAGTTCTCGTACAATCACTTATGTTAAGCAACATTGAGGCTGTCCAATAACTAGATGGGTCAAAGCTTTGGAATACCAGACGCTTCAATAGGTTGAAGTTGTTAATCTGACAGCAGAGGTTCAAATCCATTTATATTCATTTATACGTGAGTAATATTCGGAAAGGTATTAATCCACCACTTAATCCTCTGCCAT